GGAAACCCAAGGAGGGGTCGCTATGAGTCGGGGCCGACTCGACGGCACATAACAACAACAACAACAACAATTTGTAATTTTTAATCTGCTAACAGTTTGCTTTGAAAGTCAGTGTGGGCCTAAAGTCTGGAAACAAAAACTCACGTGCTTAGTTGCATGTATTTTTTTAAATAAAGGAAGAATCTCGGCTTGGAGTAAAAATAAACCTTTTCCAGGACTTGACAGGAGTCAGATAGGAGGTGAGGGAAAGTCTCACTAACGTTGGAAATGTGTAACGCGGGGTTTCGGAAACTCAAGGCAGGCATTTGCCGTTCAGATCTGGTGATGGGAGATGCTACTCGACATTGGGGTTGATAGGTTTGTGGAATCTATTTACAAATACATCAGAAGGATTTAAGGTAATACAGATTTCTAGGGATTTGTTCACTTGTTGCGGATTGACTTGCTTGTTTTAAATTGTATTACTGGTCATGCTTGTTTTAAATTGTATTACTGGTCACCACATTCCTTGATAGAAATAGAATTTTCATTATGGAAAGATATATAATGACTTCCCCCTCTGAAAGGGTGTAAAATTTTGTCCCTTTTCAAACCAGTCCTCATAGTCTTCCCTCTTACTTTAAATGATTGAAATGATTTTTTTTTTTTCCCACTGTTCCCTCCTCTTCCCTCCCACCCCTGGGAACCAACAAAGAAAGTTTCCTTCCATATATAAACCTTTCCTTGACTTTTTACAATAATGAGCTAATACTGTATTTGTCCTTCTGTGATTGACTTCTTTCACTTGGCATAATGTCCTCCAAGTTCATCCACATTATGTGGTGGTGTGCAGATTCTACATGATTCTTTAGTGTTGCATAGTATTCCATTGTGTGCATGTGCCATAGTTTGGTTATCCATTAACACACATAATGCCATAACCCAGAAACCAACCCAGCTTTGGAAGTATCCAAAGTAAATAAGCCTACAAGGTTGTAAACAGTTGGTTGAAATGATTTTTGATTGATGATTCCTTTTGTCTGCTTTGACTGATGTTAGGAAAACTTTGGCTCCAGGAAACAATGCCTTTTTGATCCTCTAGATACACTTTACGCTGTCTCTAACATAACGGCGCTGTCTTTTCAGGTGCGGCAGGAATTACTGGAAGAATATGAGCAAGTGAAAAGCATCGTCAGCACTTTAGAAAGTTTTAAAATCGACAGGCCCCTGGATTTCCCTGTGTCCTGTCAAGATGAACCGTTTAGAGACCCTGCCGTGTGGCCGCCTCCTGTTCCCGCTGAGCACAGGTGAGCAGGACTTTGTGTCCTCTTCAGGTACTTCTGCAGGTACCAGATG